TGGTGGAAAATATGTATAGTTTACCGTTGGTGCAATTATAGATTAATCTATTTAACTTTATATTATGCAACACTTGTACAACTCCTTAATTATCAGTAAAACAATTTCGATTTCAACAATTTCGATTTTCTCAGAAGAACCACGAGGCTCTAGATAATATATCGTATATTTAATATGGTCTCATTATAATATATGAGGCTACTCTTTTATTGCATATCTGAAGAATTTTATTAAAGGATGATGAAAAAATGTGTCCCAAAATAGATAGAATAGAACAATCTTCCGGTGGTTAGTAAAAGCAGATATATAATGTTTCATATTTTAATCTCACAGAGATTACGCTAACAGTATTTTGTTTCATTTTGTTTAGAATTCGTATGTGTACAAGTTTAACATCACGTGATTTTTATATTGTTCATCATGAAATGGGTCATATTCAACATTATTTACAATATAAATCTTTACCATTTTGGTTTCGTCGTTCACCACATGGTGCATTTAGTGAAGCTATTGGTGATGCAATTGCATTAGCTACAATGTCACCAACACATTTAAAACGAATTGGTTTATTGGAAAATTATACATTAACCAGAGGTTATTTCTTTTCTTTTTTTCAAATAAAAATAAAAAAAGTGTTCTATTTTCTTTTTTGTATCATAGAGGATAATATAAACTTTCTAATATCACAAGGTTTAAGTCGTTTGTTTTTACCACCTTATGCATATGCACTTGATCTTTGGCGTTGGTCAGTTTATAATGGATCAATACAACCATTTGAATACAATAAACGTTATTGGGATCTCGTGTAAATTATCTTATTTCTCTTTCAAAAGTTATTTTTCAACACGTCTGAAACGTAGGAAAAACTTTGCCTATAACAGACGACCTTGTTTGAGAAACATTATATCATCTAAGATTAATATAGAACTACATATGATCGGATGACGTCTCTCAAGTATCATCAGTAAAAAAGAATTTATAAATATTATATATAGTAATAGACTTCAGTTATAAAAAAAAAGTGTTTTTGTTTTAACTATTTACTTATTTTAGAATAGTAATATGGTGTACATGTTAAAACAATGTTATCTTAACAAGGTCGAGATTTTAGAGTAGAAATTTGAGTTTAGAAGAAAGTTTAGATACATGAACTGTACTGATAAACATAAATTGTCTTTGTAGTGAACGTTCATCCAGATATAGGAGAATAGTTCGGGACGAATACTAGCTTTTTCTAATATGACGATATTCACACGTACTTGTACTATCATAAACATTTATGCTTTACTTATAGATTAAATTTAGTCGAAATTACTTTGTGAAGTACATATTGTTTTGAAGAAAAGAGTGAATGTAAGTTTGAAATCGAGGTATTGCGTCTACCCCCCCCCCCCACATTACAGACCCTAGTAACTGACCCCTCCTATCCTTACAACTGTGGGAGAGGATGGCCAAAAGTTACTGAATAAGTTTCTATAGGAACGGGAAATGGCGTATAAGTAATATTAGTGCTTAGATCATTCGGAAACTTACAAGGGAACATTCCCAGGTAAAGGAGCGCTTTTCAGCCGGAGTTTTGCGCATCTTGTAGCCCATAGTCAGCTATGTCTATGGTAAAAAAAAAGTTCGGGTTTCTGGCTTGTTTCTGAGGAGATATCGAGCTTCCAGTGAATTTTCTCTATAGTACGGTCACATTGGCAGGAAAACTATACTTTCGAATTTTGATCCGAAACATTGCCTGCATGAAGGTCTCAGCTATACTAGTTTGAATAAAAAATTTCAGAAGTTTTGGACAAAGTCTGTTCAAGATACGAAGATTTGAAAAAAATGCATACTATATATATTATTTATGAAAAAGGGACTGTACCTTGATAGTTTCATATCTTAGAGAGACTTTATTCGAAACGTCTGAAATTTTTTATGCAAACTAGTCCAGCTGAGGCCTTTATGCAGGCAAAGTTTCAGATCAAAGTTCGAAAGTATAGCATTGCTGCCAATGTGAGCGTACTATAGAGAAAATTCACTGGAAGCTCGATATCTCCTCAGAAACAAGCCAGAAACCCGAACTTTTGTTTTTACCATAGACATAGCTCACTATGGGCTACAAGATGCGCAAAACTCCGGCTGAAAAGTGCTCCTTCACCTGGGAATGTTCCCTTGTTAGTAGATTCTAGCAGTGTAGTCTAAATATTGCGTTTTTTGTGTTTCATACGGCAGAAGAATTCTATTGAAAGATTTAATCAATAGGATGGCCTTCGTTTGGATCTAACAGAATCAGAATGAGAAAGACCTATAAAAAAAAGCTGCACCAATTGAACACTAATGTTAGGCAAAACTCAGCAGTATATGTCAAAATTCGTCCAGAGAAACAACAATGTGTGAAGTAGCTGACTGGGCTATCAAGTCAATGTGTACAGCAGGCTAATATTGTACTTGAATCGACGAAACCAATAGTTAAATTATATTTGCCACTGTTTATGGCATGTATCATAGATAGATGATCGCTAGGAGAAAAGAACCTATGAATTGAAGATGCACCTGATAATACAAATAAGTTTTTACGGTATAGTGAAGTTAAATAGATCAAATAAATTGTTAGATAAGTAATTTAAAATGTGCACATTTTCGAAATGAAAAAACTTTCGAGCGCACATATCGATTATAGAAACTGTTATAGTTTTGATTGATTCATTTATTTGGCGTTTTTAAAAATAAATTCCTTAAAAGTTCGGATAATATATAATAAATTTATTAAAGTCAGAGTTTGTGAGATCCATACTTTGGCATCGGAAGGAACCGTACTGACAAGTTTTTTTGAATAGTTTCAGTCGAAGGATCATGCATTTGAAGATATTTCCTGTGACATTTTCTATTGAGGCGTTTATACTCAGGTCACAGAGTAAAGACTATTTTTGGCAAGAACACAGCTCGGAAATATATGGAGTGTTGAAGTAGTAGGTCGGATTGTAATGTCTCCAAATTTTTCCGGTAATTTTCAACCAACTTCCTGTTCTTTCCGGTGCGGAAAAGGGCTGCAGATCATCAGAAAACATTCTGAAACTTACCAGCCCTGATTACTTTTCCCGACTTCTCTCAATCTCCAGTGTTTTCCTGTAAGATACGATGATTTTTCCGCAGGCTCTACTGAAATTTAATTTTTTCCGGATCCCAAATCATCGACTTCAGTAGAATTAACTTTTTTTCTGTGAATGATGATTATAATGATTAGATATACTTAACTTTCATGTATTGATTCGAACAATTAAACATAACAGAAAACTTTCAATTATATTTACCTATTTACTTGACTGTGATATAAGTGCATGAAAAATAAATAAACATTTTGTAAAAGAGTTTATAATTCAATTTTTTTTTATTCTGTAGCTGTCAATATCAAGGTATGAAACCAGCAAAACCTCGCAATGAACGATATTTTGATGTCGGTACTAAGCTTCATGTTGCTTTTGATTTATCTTATATCAAGTAAAAATTAAAAGTCATAGAAAAACAAATATACAAAATAGTTTTTCTATTTAGATATTTTCTTGCTCATGTTTTTCAATTTCAAATATTTGATGTTTTATGTCAAGAAGCTGGTCATCAAGGACCATTACATTTATGTGATTTGTATAATTCAGCAGCTGCTGGCAAGAAACTTAAGTATATTACTTTATTCTATGTTATGTAATTATAAATAAAAAGAATTCATTTAGAATATTACTTGAACTTGGTTCGTCAAAACCTTGGGAAGATATATTAGAAGAATTTGCTGGTGTAAGAACATTTTCTGCTAAATCATGTTTACGATATTTTAAGCCACTTCAAGATT